ATAATTAAATTAAAACAATAAACCTTCTATTAGTTCCAACATACCAGTTGTACCTGTTTCACCAAACATAGAACAATAAACCTCCTACTAGTTTCAACCTAAACCATCTACTAGTTTCACCAAAAACCAATAACTAGTTTCAACAAAAACCAAAACAAACTTGTTTCTTCTACTTCTTTTTTGCAGCCTCTCATTTCTTCCTTTGTGCTGGTGCATCATTTTCGAAAGGAGTGGATATATGCCTCGATGGTTTACCTTTTCTCCTACTCCTAATGATCTCAGCCGTCCTTTTAGCCTCAGCACTCTTCCGCATACAAATTTTGTAGCGTGGTTTCTTTGCTGGTGGTTCAGGAGTCTCCACTACAGGTGTAGGTGCGTTTGTGGTCTCCACTGAAGGTGCAGGTGCGTCTGTGGTCTCCTCCGCAGGTACAGGTGCAGGTGCGTCCCTGGTCTCCTCTGCAGGTGCGTCCCTGGTCTCCTCTGCAGGTGCGTCCCTGGTCTCCTCTGCAGGTGCATCTGTGGTCTCCTCTACAGGTGTGTTCGTTGTCTCCTCCATACCCTTATCACGTACATTGCAAAATAAATGTAAAATTTTTTTTGAACATACACTTAATAAAGGAAAGAAATAAATATCTTTTTTTACCTCTTGCATTTGATCCTCCACCTGTTTCATACACTCTCCCCACTTCTTCATACTGAAAATCCATAAAATCAGAATCTCTCCTTTGATCAGCTATTTTCATTTCTACAGACTTCAGTCTTGTGTCCATCTCATGAACCTTCTCATTAATCTTCCTAAACCCTTCTTCCATTTTCTCGTTAATCTTTATAAACCCTTCTTCCATCTTCTTCAACACATCCTCACTTCCTACCGCTTCAGTATCTGTCGGTTTGGGCAATGGCTGGTCTTCTCGGGATTTAACATCTAATTGGTACAGATCCTTCAAGTGTATCTTCTTCTTTTGTTGGACTAAAATAGTGTGCCAACTATCAACAACAGGATCAGAAACAGCATCATCCTCTCCTACTTCGAAGTCATCCCATACATGCTCGTCTAGGATGTCAAGCAAGAGTTTAGCTTCTCCATCTTCAGGTACCAAGATACTAATAATATCCTGTTTAACGAAAAACAAAAATTAAATTAAACTAAATCTCTAATAATGTATAAATATAAAATTAAAGGAGACTCCTAAACCTTTGTATCTCCAAGCACTTCATAAATATCAGCTAAAGAAAATCCTGTTTTGCCTGTTCTCTTAAACTTCCACTTGCACATTCTTGGACAATCACCATCTGCATTCCCAACTTTTTCTTGAAATGCTTCTTTCAGAACCGGGATAGATTCAAACGCCAAAATCTGCACATATAATCGTACTAGTTATGCCAGTTCTACCAATAATACCAGTTCAACTAGTTGTACCCTAAACACGAGTTGTACCAATACTACTACCTATACACTATATCAAGTTGAACCAAGAATACTAGTTGTACTAATACTATGATTTTTAGTTGTACAAGTTATACTGAATTTAAAACATATAACATTACCTCTAAAGGCAATATGAACCCCGAAAAAGTCCAATTCCCTCGAACAGATCCTCCAAAATGATCCACCAGATGTGCAACCTCAGCTAAGACGTCATCAAAAGTGAAACGACCCCAGGGAAACGTTTCACACAGATCCAGATCATCCACCACTCGAAGAATGGATGGGTCTATGGATCCACCATATTTCTTGGACTTTCCTTTGATGACAATTGCTAAGAAGAAAAGTACAACCATCTTCAACCTATCAGTACCACCTTCAATGAAATCCATTGATTCCAGCTTCTCACGCACCTCTTTCACCTCAATATTAGTCTTTCCAAACTGCTCCTCCACAAAATACATACTCCCTAACTGCTCATAGTCGGCTGGATAATGGTGGCAGAATAATTCTGAAAGAAGGCCGTGTTCTCTAATTGAATACCGAACAGGCACACCATTCACAACAAACCAACACTGCCGCTGCTTGTCTGTCACTGCTGTTCGGAGAAGCAACATCCACATTCCCATTAACATTCTATTCTTCTGGATAAACATGTGGACAATATGCTTGAATTGTGGGTGGTTCTCAAACCAGTTTCTCTCTGAGATATCAAGCCTCTTGAAGACTTCCATGAAATTAAAGGTTTCACACCTTGATTGAAGCTTCGGGTATAACCGATACTCGCTTTGCTTGAAGAATAAACCTCAAGGTTCCATTGGTATTGAGACGTCCTCTTGCTGCAATCAAAACGCATAGGATAAGTGAATATAAGTGTATTGGTACAACTAGTATTCTTGGTACAACCACAACCAAAAATAAGTTGTACGCGATAATTCCAGTTGTACTAAACTACATTTCGTTCAACCACAAGCAAAAATCGGTTGTACGCGATAATTCCAGTTGTACTAAACTACATACCGGTAGACCACAAGCAAAACTCAATTGTACACGATAATTCTAGTTGTACTAAACTACATACCGGTTGTAATGGATCAACATTTGAGTTTGAACCCAATCCTTCTTCTGATGCAGTAGCATACTCAGCCTCAGATCTCTCTGGTTGAGAAGGTGAACCCCTAGTCGACATCCTCAAAAAATTCTGAAACAAAAAATCAGAAATCAGTTGGGGTTCAGGGTTGAGGGAAGAAAATCATAAATTAAGGTTTTAATTACTCTTAAGCCTAGAAGATACCTGTTCGGCGATGATGGAAGTGTGAAACGGTGGTGGTGGCGAGCCTAAAACGGCGACGGCGACGACTCTAAATCAGAAGGGTGAAGAGTGGAGAGCGAGTGCGAGTGAGTGACGGTGAGCGAAGAGTGTAGGGATTTAATCGAAGAGGAAGAAGATGATGGAAGAAGACGAAAATGATGGAAGAAGATGATGGAATCGAAGAGTCCGAAAATGATGGAGTATGGAGATAATGGAATCGAAGAGGGGAGACGATGGAGGCGGGAGTAGATCCGATTTTTAGGGGGTAGGGTTTGCTTTCTGGTTTAATTAAATTGGATGGTTTAAAACAATTAAATTGGTTTAGTTTAATAATTTCGGTTAAATTGGTTATTTAAATTGGATCTTGGTTTGAGTCCAGTATTCTGAATTGGAAATATAATTTGGTTATTCATTAATGGTTTTTTGGTCTTTTTATACCCTTTTGTATTAAAAAGAAAATCAAAAACAAAATATGGAGATGGAAAGAGTATATGAGAATTTCATATAAGGAAATGAGTACGTGAGGTTAAGATCCGTAGGAGAAACACTTGGAACGGTTTGCTACCGTAGATGACCATCAGATTTTGGATAACCAGATTGATCCATTTCTCTTGAATGCCCCATGATCTCTGTGTTTTACCGTTTAGCCTTCTAGATAGCCTAGGCTTCCAAAACGATTGAATTATCTATTTTTATTGGAAAATTTTACTAAAATGTAGTGCAAGGAATATAGCTCAATTGGTTGGAACCCCTATTATTTTACTATAATGGAAAATCAATTATATTTTTGATGAAAAAAAGAAAAATGAAGAACCAAATGATAAGGCAAATAGAAGAAGAAAAAACCTTTTACAGAAAAAGAAAAAAAATAAAGCTTTGAAATACTAAAGAGGATTGAAGAAGGAAAACCATTCATTGAAAAATGTCTTAAAAAGAAAACCAAAATATGGAAGTAAGGGGGAGAATAGGACTCGGGATTGGTTTCAAACTTTCTACATGATACAATTTATATATATTCACATTTGTCCTTTTTTGACAGTATATATTTATATCTGTCACGGTTAGTTTTTCTTGTTTTAGCAATAAACACTTTTGTTTTAATATGATTAGCTTAGTTTTCATGAAAAAAGTTTGAAAACTATATAAACTATATATTTTTATGTAATTAATCAAATTTTATAAATCAAACGTAGGAGCTGTCTAGCGTCCGTATAAGAGCTCCAGGCTTGCATGCTATTCGGGAGGTGCTCCAAACGACACCTCTCCCTCTCAATGGCGATAGTGATGTGTACATTTGGGAGGTCGATGAGACAGGGAAGAAGGTTTTTTCCACCTCCAAAACGTGGGACTGCCTCAGACCCTCTGCCCCTAAGGTTCATTGGAGAAAAGTGGTCTGGTTTAAGGGTCATCTTCCGCGACATGCTTTTCACTTCTGGGTAGCCAATCATGATCGCCTTCCTGTGAGATCAAGACTTATGAAGTGGGTGAAATCTGATAATTTCTCTTGACTGTATTCACATCTCTTTACACAAATATATACACAGAAATAAACGATATTTACTCCTAATTGACAGGGCGAGATTGTCGTGATTTATTATTGATTGGCACGACAAATCTCTAAATGAATCAATCAAATTAAATACAGTTTTCTTAATATCTATCATCCTAGGGTTTCTAACGGTTAAGCTGTCTCGAAAATCATTGAACAATGAAGTTGGCAACCCTTTGGTGAAGACATCTGCAAATTGAAGCGACGATGGAACATGAAGCATATTGATCTGACCCATTTTGACCTTTTCTCTCACAAAGTGAATGTCTATTTCAATGTGTTTCGTTCGTTGGTGTTTCACCAGGTTCGTCGAGAGATACACATCACTAATACTGTCACAATAGACCACTGATGCTTTGGTAATTTAGAGATTTGTCGTGCCAATCAATAATAAATCACGATAATCTTGCCCTGTCAATTAAGAGTAAATATCGTTCATTTTTATACTTAAACACTTCAATCAGTTTTAGAAACCTAAGCTATCTAAAAGGCTAAAACACAAAACCCGAAAGTAAGAAAGAAAAAAAAAAAAAAACAGAAAACACAGGCACAATGAGGTCACTGGGCATTCAAAAGAACTGGATCAGTCTGGTTAGCCAAAATCTGATGATCATCGATGATCGAACCGTGTTTCCCAACAGCCGGAATACTAAGTGAACGTTTCCTCATCTTTGCTTTATCCGAGGCTGCAACTACCATTCTGTTCCGGTATTCACATGTGAGCTCAAGAGATTCAGTCAAAGGCTGGTTCGCTGTCCTGAGGAAAAGGTCGAGGTTTTGCAAGTATTTGTCATCTTTGTTGGGTTTTGTTGTAGCCTCCTTGTGGTTGGTTTCAGACACCATGGAGATTGTATCTCGTGACTCTTCTTCTTCTTCGTGGTCTGTCCAGTAACTCTTGTCTTCCATTGCCAGATCATCGTACTCTTCATCTGACTTTGTCGATTCCTCATCCACCGATCCAACCTGGTTTAAGATTTCAATGAAAAGAGTAATAAACTATCAGCAAGATACACTAAGAACAAGAGAAAACGAACCAGTATCTGGTTTTTACCTCTTCACGGTTTCGTTCGTCATTGTTATCGCTGAGATCTTCATCAGAATCTGGCTCAGCAAAATCATCATCGACTTCTTCATCTTCATCGCTCCCATGTACAGACTGTTCCTCCTTACGCTATACGGAAGATGTAGAAATGATTAAACAACCTTCATAAAATAAGAATGTTTTAACACATTGATTAGTTTATACTTACCTCTTTCGAAGGTCCATCAGATATACGTGGCGAGCTGCAGCAAGAAGAGTAATGTCTGCTTCCGGTTTCAACAAAATCAGCTCTCGACTCGTCTACACTCCCAGCGTGACTAGTTGCACCATCATTAGGCCAAGCGCTTACCCCAAAGAGACCAAACTGAAGATTCACCGGTTCAGCTTTCTGTAAGTATCCATACATTGGATGCGCTGTTCCATAGTCCATCTCAGTACCACCAAAGACAGGCTTCCCAACATCATCAACGGAACCAACAGGCCAAGTTCTCGCTACGGTTCCATCAGTATTCAGAAGAGCCATCACACGCCTAGAGGAGCCTGTTCTTTGGATCAGCTGAAACATTCCCTTGGAACTTAATGAGTTAGCTGCACATTGGTTCCTGTGCTCATCGTCGATAACAGCAACGGTGTTTGTTGTTGCATCGTAGAGCTTCTCCCCTGTTTCTCGTCTACGTAGACAACTGAAGACCGTCGCATGGATCGTAGCCACGCTCTTGTCGACGTTCGTGTTGTTTATCTTAGGAACGAGATGTTTATCAGCTCGTTTACATAGATAATCCTGTATCGTTCTGATGTTACGTATATATTTTACATACTTATTCTTTTCTGGATCCAATGTCATATACTTTGCTCTGACTGCAAACCGTTCCAAGTGTTTCTCCTCATTGGCGATGTATACCATGAAAGGAACAATCGAAGGGTGCTTTTTCATCAGTCCCATCTGCATAAGAAATAAAAAGTTAGATTGAAAAAGACATTGGATCCTCAAACAAAAATGTTTAATGAGACAGATATAAGAGTTACCACAAAGTTGAGGCTTAAGTGGACACCCTCAACAACGACCGACTCTTTCCTTTCTTCCCATGTTGTAATAAGCCTATCGAGACTGTCAATCACCATCTCGCTTTGTGCCTTGTACCCTTCTATAGCCATCTGCTTATCACTTAACAACTCAGGGTTGCTTGAGTTTGATCCAGCATGGGTGTTTTCGGTGTTGGAGTTTAACCCTCGAGAGCCTTTCAACTTTTTGGCTCTTCTTTTGGCTTTTGACTCAGCAACTGCCACACGGTCAAGGCACTCTCCAGCATGGTACGTTGAAGCCCAAAGCAAAGGATTCTGCTTCTCATCAGCAAAGCTCCTCATCATGTGCCTTATAGAGTCAGTTGATACCACAGTTGTAATCCCCAGCCTGCTACCCTGTAATACGAAAGTTACAAACTGCATCTGATTACACATCAATAACCAGTAAGAGGAGAGCTTATTATTGTCAATCTAAAGCATATAAACGGAGGGAATTAATATTTTACCAGCAATGCAGACAATGTAGATTTACCACAGCCACTGGTGCCACAGAGCAGAACAGTTACAGATTCTTTCCTTTCTCGGATTCTGTGAGTGATAATAATTGTAGTAAATGTGTGATATAAAAGAATAAACTACAGACCTACAGTTATATGAGTAGGAAAATAGCAAATCTGAGTCCAGTTTAACAACAAATCAAAGTACGGCAGTCCATGGCACTACCAACGTACTAGGAGCCCTAACTAGGATTAATGCACTAAAGTATGAACCTCAATGCGAGCATCACATTTAATATACAGCCAACCACATACCAAATACAATTTACTATGTAGAATCAGGAAATCCATATTGAGAAGGAAAAAGAGAAACTGTTTATATGTCGGAAAAAACGTGATCAGCTAAGATTTTTAAATATTAAGAAAGATATAAGTGCATGATGATATCTCTTTATTGGCCATTCGATAGAATTCATTCCGACTACTATCTCTATCAAATAAAGGCTAAAGAATATCTTTGAAAGCCGCCTACCTATATTTTATGCATTTTAAAGAACATAATATAACATAAGCAGCAGACATATGCAAATTCTATATGCCATCACTTTTTGGACAATAAATATCAAGACATATTCCAAAAAGTTAAGAAATTTACCTGCATGCCAGAATCAAATCTGCCCTTTGGTCACGGCCAACATACTTATATTCAGCTAGGGCATCACACACAACATCTAAGAATATTTGCCTTGAAACAACAACAGTTGTGCGTCTTTTGTACATCTCAAATGGTCTTTTATCCTTGTCAACATCATCAGCAACCAAACAGTTAGCTTTCTGTACACAATTTGAACCACCACTTTCTTTTGCAAATTCAGGCACCTTCCCATGCTCTGGTGAGGAATTACAAGACCCCTCACTTCTTATCAACTCAAAAACCCTCCGGCTGATCTGCCAACAGAGAACAAAAGAGAGGAAAGCAGATTATCATGAATATATCAAGGAATGAAAAACTTCTTGTTCCTAAAGCAGAAGGCAAAAGAGGATGCAGGTCACTAAGATGGCCAAATTACTTTGCAAAGGAGATCATATTAGGTCATTCACAATAAGTACGACTCATGCCAGGACAGCCTAAGGATTTTACAAACAAACTAAGTTATCAGACAAATATAACTATCAGTCTATCAGGCTGAAAAAACATAACTAAACAGAAATCAGTCCGATCCCGAAATTTAATACATACGGGTTTAAGGAAAGTCTTGTTCTTACCATAAACTAGAAAGATTATGATAGACATTGATGATTGAACAAACGAATAAGATGTACAATAACTCTCAAAGCAGCAAACTCAATAGTATACAAAAATTTCCAAATTAGAGATGGAAAACATAATCAAGAAAGAATAAGCATATAGCATGAGACAGTAAGACGCTAAACTCCTTTCCAGATCTATACACATCACTGAAACAATCTCAATGCTACAAGTCAAACTAGATTCACAATCTTCATAAGATTTTTTTCCCTAAAATAATCGGAAACAAATTCGGATAAAAAACAGAGATAAACAATTAAAACGACCAAATCGACGTAATATGGTGATCATATTAAAACAAAAAAAAATGTATAATCGCGATCACCTTGAAAGCGTGACGCGCCTTGCATCCCATGAGCTGAAGAGTACTTTGCAATACAGGACGCGTATACCTAAACGAATCCTCCACATTACCGTCTCCATTCGCCGCCGCCGCAACCGCGTCGTCGACCACCACCAAGTACAGAACCTTCGTCGCCTCCGCCATTTCTGCAACCGACAAGAAAAAGACCAGAATGAATCTCAATCAAAATAATTTCTGGAATTTCCGAGAAAAAAATAATCAAACAATCAGAGAGGGAACAAAATTGGGAATGCAGGGAGGTAGAAGAGAAAAAAATCGCTTCACCTGTGTCGGAGAAAATTTTGGTTTCACAGATCGGAGAAGAGAAAATCTAGGGTTTATAAATGAGGATCGTGGTGGTTTTCCTTATAAGAAGAGGAAAAGGAAGAAGAATAAGAAGAAGATAGGAAAGATATTTTCGCCATTTTTATTGTCACTCTCTCGCCTTCAACGCATCGCTCGAGGAGAGCCTTCACGACTTGTTTAAGAAACCTTCTTCTTCTACTTTTCTGTCTTTCTCTCTCTCTCACGTATCTTTTACTTTTACAGAATCAAAACAATTTTAGAAAAAACTCTCTCGTTTTTTTTAAAAAACTTTTTGGCTTTGTTTTAATCCTTTTTGAACTCAACCAGCATCTTACTTTCTTGACAAAGACATCCCTAGATTTTGTTTTAGATCGAATTGACCCTCATATTTTTCGCTTTTACAAAATAAAATCTGAAAATTAAAGTGACAGGATATAAATAGTTATCTTTTTCGGGAAAGCTTAGCAAATTTTGTCATTTTTTTTTGTAAACTAAAAAAAATTTCTGAATTTTTTTAACACTTTAAAAAAAATTATAATTATAGTTATTTTATAAATGTATATGCACATTTTTGACGATTTGGTTTTCTAACATTAATTTATATTTTTTTCGACTATGTATTTTTTAACTATGCTATAGCGATTATATGGCTTAAACTATGTAAAACCATGATAGCATGGAACATAATTTTATTTAAAAAAACTATACATCATCGTAAATAAATATGTATATTAACGTGATCAAGATTATAATAAGATCAAAATATAAGAAATAGAAGAAGAGTTTGCATATGTACCTTTGCAATGTTGTCTAAGAAATTTATCAATTTGCAGATATATATGATTTTAGTTTGAGTTGGTTTTTTTGTGATGATAAAAACCATATTTATAGAGTTTTGTGACTCTAAAAAACTTTTGTATTTTGATCAATGGAGTTTCTTAATGTTGAGATCATTATCAAATTTTTTCACTAAATTTAGGATATCTCGTCTATAAAAAAATTAAAATGGAAATAAAGCAGTTAATTTGGAAAACTTATTTCTTAAGGATTAAGGGAAAAGACAAAGAAAAGAAATCTGAAATCTATTCACAAGATTCACCGTGTGGGCCCGTGAGGTGGTAAAAGTGTAGTAAAGTCTGGTGTGAGAACAACGGTAATAAAGGTTTAAACTCCGAATAACTAGAATAACTAGTATACTTTGTCGGGCAGGAATTAAAAAGAACAAAGGAAGTGGGTTCCATTGTTAAAGAACTAAGTTCAAACCTTACATCCATAAAGTCTGAGCCATCCCTGGATTTGGTCAATTTTTTTCCATATTCATTTTTCTATTGGATTAAACAAAACATTAAAATAATCACCAGATCATATATATAATATATTGTATAGACTACTACAAGAAAAATACAAATACAAATCCTTAGAAAAATATTACAGTCATGAAGATTGTTGATCAGACTTTTGAGAATCTGTGTATTGATTACCAAGAAAATCAGGAGGCAAGGAGGTCTAAAAAAAAGGGCATATATTGAAAGAGATCGGGAGGAAGGCCATAAACGGTTATGGAATGATTACTTCAGTGAAGATGCAACATATCCAGCTAATTTATTCCGACGCCGTTTTAGAATGAATAAACCATTGTTCATGAAGATTGTTGACCGACTATCCACCAAAGTTCAATTTTTCCGATAAAAGAAAAATGCTCTTGGAAGGTCTGGTCTCTCCGGACTTCAAAAAATGTACAGCCACAATTCGTCTCTTGGTTTATGGCACTGCAGCTGATGCAGTAGACGAATACCTCCTGATTGGTGAATCTACGGCTTGCTCATGTTTGGAAAATTTTGTTGAAGCAATAATTAATTTGTTTGGTGATGAATACCTAAGAAGACCCACACCAGAAGATCTTTAAAGACTACTTTATTATGGAGAGTACCGTGGATTTTCCGGCATGATAGGAAGCATTGATTGTATGCATTGAGAGTGGAAAAATTGTTCCACACCTTGGAAAGGGCAATATACACGTGGTTCTGGAAAACCCACGATCGTTTTGGAGGCGGTAGCTTCATATGATCTTTGGATATGACATGCATTTTTTGGATCTCCAGGTACTTTAAATGATATCAATGTTCTTGATCATTCACCCGTGTTTGATGATATCATAAAAGGTCAAGCTCCGCAAGTAAATTTCTCTGTCAACGGAAGGGTTTATCGTTTGGCATACTATCTCACCGACGGTATTTATCCAAAATGGTCTACATTTATCCAATCTATTCCACTTTCACAGGGTTCAAAAGCTCGTTTATTTGCTGAACGTCAAGAAGCTGCCCGAAAAGATGTCGAGCGAGCTTTTGGAGTCTTGCAAGCTCGGTTTGGGATAAGGCCAAAATAGAGAAGATTATGAGAGCTTGTATCATTCTCCAAACATGATAGTAGAAGACGAACGAAACAACTTCTCTCTATTTGATCTTTCAGATTTTCAACACGGAGAAGGAAACGCAAGTTCACATGTCGATCAGACCTATTCACCAATGCCTTCAAATATTGGTAATATGTTGGATAGACGAACTAGAGTTCGAGATAAATAAGTACATGAATATTTGCAAGCTGATTTGCTTGAGTATATTTGGCAAAAATTTGGAGACGGCGAATAACAATTGAGCTTTTATATGTTTACAATGTTTCAAAATCTAAGTTTCTAGTTTTTTTTTTCATCTTTGTTTCAAATGTTGTTAAATAATCTATGTTCTATCCAAAAATAAAAATGTCTTTTCCAAATAATTATAATTAGTATATTTTTTTTAAGTACCCCTTTAGGGGTTCTTGCATTAGAGGCAACAATTTTTTTTTTTTAATTAGGGGTACTTAACATAATTTTACTATTATTTTATTGCCTAAGTACCTCTCATGGGGTACTACCATTGCTGATGCTCTTAGAGCATGATTAATGCTAGAACCCCCAATGGGATTTTTAGTTAATTTATCTCTATATTATTAATTGAGTATACATTTACATAAATGAACTTTTATTTGTAAGATATTACAGGATATTTTTAATAAATAAAAATTTATTTATAAGATACTACACAAACAAACATTTACTTAGAAAATATTATATAAACAAACTTTACAAATATAGAAAGCTCAATTAAATATTCCTCCATAAGAAATAGTTAAATATAGATGTCACAGATTTTTTTTGAATATATATGGATATAAATCAAAAGTGTATTTAGTTTTTTACTTATTAAAATATATTCTATTATATGAAGAAATCTATTTAAACTTTTGCAATATTTCCATTTGTATTTTCATAATTGATTAGTATCATTTTCGAAAATTAATTCAATTAAAACTGAAATATGTTTTCTAAATTTAAATTATATTTTTACGGGTTGGCCGAAAAAATATGTTAGTAAATTACAAAATAGATTAAATAGACGGGCTTTTCCAATTTGACAATCCTATAGATTATATAGACGGGTTTATTAACATATATTATATAATTCATTAACTAAAAATAATAGTTTGATCTCTAATAAAATATTCACAATTAATTTCTTATTTTATGGATATATATATATATATATATATATATATTTAGATTCCAATCCATGTTGGTGTGTATATAAAGTATATATTAACATCATATCACTTTCATATTTAAAAATTAATAATAATTAAACCGCATAACAAAACTAGCTCAAATTTCTATTCGATGATATATATACAAGTAAATATCAGTTGTGTGATATTTATAAATGTATTTTTATCCAATTGCCTCTAATTTTTATTTTTATTTTTTGTTAAAAGATTTTTGCCACCAATTTTAATTTAACTAAAAAATTTAAAGATATTTTAAAAAATATTACTCTGCACAATGTGTAGATTAATTCATAGTTATTATTACATTTGGGGAAGAAAGAAAGATGAAAGATGATGAGAGAGAAATTGCTCCTGGACAAAGAAGAAAGAGAAAGAGAAGAGAAATTTTCTGGCCAATGCAAGCGTGACACGTGGAGTTAAGAGTCGATTCTTAAGTGTCCCAAATAAGAGCTAGTTCTTAGCATAATTATTATTTTATCTTTAATTTAATTAAAAAACACCTAAGCAATTTCCTTAAGAGCCTGCGTTAGTGATGGTCTCATACAGTTTCTAATAATGCACATATTTAAGAAAATATAGTTGTTTCCTTTCCCGATTCTGAGATTTTGTTTGGTGTGAAACAGGAGTTGTTGGAATGGAGGGTCTGGAAAGATGAGAGATCTTTAATTCGCAGTTTTTGAATCTGTCTTACAAAAATTAATCGAAAAAGTGAAAAAGAAGTGGTTCAAGAAGATGACAATGCTGGCTTCTCATTTCAGCTCTTTAACGTCTAAAATGTTGTCGGTGTCCATCTCTGATAACGCATCTGTGGTTTCGTTGAATCTCTTCGTTGCTCTTCTCTATGTTTGTATTGTGATTGGGCATCTTTTGGAGGAGAATCGATGGATGAACGAATCCATCACAGCTTTATTGATTGTAAGTTCACTTTAAGCATCCTCTTTTGGGGTAAAATGATAGCTAAAGATGTTACCGCACGGGGGCTCACGGATAAGCTTTTACATTTTGGATTAATCATATCATTGTTTCATCTTTTTTGACATTTTAGCAATTTAGTTGCAGGGGCTTTGCACTGGTGTCGTTATTTTGTTAATTACTAGAGGGAATAACTCACATCTGTTACAGCATTTCCATCAGTGAACCTCTAAGAGAGGGGTTCATCAGAATATAATAATGTTTTTTTAGTTTTATTTCTTTTTTAATTTTTTTTTATATTCAAAAATTATAATTTTCAACCAATCAGGATGCTCCATTTTGAGATGATACCGTATTTTCAGGTTCGTCGAGATGATACCGTCTCTTTAATATTAAACTTTTTTATCTCAAAAACTGTGTTATGAACCTGTCTTGATCCCTTAATGGATATGGTCTTAGTTTTCCTTTTGTTAATCTTGCTGATTTGTTTTTTCTTGATTTCATGTACAGTTTTTTTTTTCTTGATTTCATGTACAATTTTTTTTTTTTTTTTTAAAGAGATAGATATGTATATACTATTATCGACATTGTTCAGTCGGGCTTCATATATTTCATGGGTCTTTAAATATAAATATGAACCTTTTTTGATTCGGGTTGGGCTAAAATCAGGATGCGCAACTCACCTCCAACAGGTGCTTCGTAAAATACTATAGAGCTAACTTGACATTTGGTTCGATTCTGGTGCGGCAAGGAATCATAAAATTAGAATATTATACTTTTAGCCTTTGTTTATTTTAAAAACTACAGATTACCCCATTATGATTTATTTCTCGTTCTCACACTACCGAGTAGTGTCTCCATCGCATCGATCTCTCGCCGGCGTCGTCTCCATCGCCGGAGACGTTTCCAAAGCCGGCGTCGTTTCTTTCGCCTGCGTCTCCTCCCTCCGACGCTGTCTCCATCTTTGTAATCGGTAAGTTTCCTCCTTCGTAATTTGTCAAAATTAGTTTGGAGTCTAGATTTATCGGACGATTGTGGTGATCCAAAATTCTAAAAATGTTTAATCTGAAGTTAAAACACTCTCAAATGAGAAGTTTCAATGGATTCGATAGTTTTTGGTTTCATAGATAATATTTCATAGATAATGTAGATGATGTTTTCGATAGAATGTCTTAGTGAACTTTTCATGGATTCGATAGTTTTTGGTTTTATGAAATCTCTGGTTCCTTTTCTTTTTCCTCCTCTTCTTCCATGCTACATTGCGATCGATCAACATACCTTACGGTTGGAAAAACCTTCTGTTTGCGAGTGAATCTATTGGTTAAAGATGATTTGATTTTCTTATTATTCATATCAATTTCTTCCCTGTAGTAGGGGAAATATGGTTCCATGGTTTTTGCTGATCGATCTTGTGCGTATGTTTACACAAGCTGGTTTCTCTGAATACATAATCTTTAAAGAGTATGAACGAAGAAGGCCACGTCTCTCACCTTTCTGGTAAAGTCCATACGATGTATATCTATATCTTAATACCAATATGTAATTCTTGCATCGCTTCTCCTTTTCGACATTAGAACTGATACCTGATTATCGTTCTAGACTTCTGTAATGTTTGCGTTTAGAGCGAGTGATTTTCTCATTTTTGTTCTGATTTGTTGCATTGATATATATTTTTTTTCTTATATCAAAAATTTCAGAGCTTCAAGTCTAATTTTGTGACTGGAGTGTCTATGGCGGAACCGAAGCATAGGGTTTTAATGGTCTCTGATTTCTTCTTCCCAAACTTTGGTGGTGTGGAGAATCACATCTATTACCTCTCTCAATGCTTGTTAAAGCTCGGACACAAGGTCAGTTTGATATTCGCATGTTCTTTTTAGGTTTGTGTGTTTAGCTATGGTGAAATCAAATTCTCAAAGCCCTTCTATTAATATTTTGTGATTAAAATACAATTTTCAGCTGTATTGTCAAGTAATGTAGCATAATGTGATAGGATCTTATTAATCCACTACCTTGATTCAGAAACCTATTAGTGATATGGAGCTTAATCCAGAATTTACTCTATTCTTTACTTTGTGTTTTTACCCTCTTAGTGTGGAAACATTGCTTTCACCATCTGGTTTCTTCCGAACGCTGGTTTGAGTTTTTGTTGCCATTGTTGCAGGTGGTGGTTATGACACATGCATACGGGAACCGTTCTGGAGTTCGATACATGACTGGTGGACTCAAAGTCTATTACGTGCCTTGGAGGCCATTTGTTATGCAGACCACGTTTCCGACGGTTTATGGAACACTTCCCATTGTACGGACCATACTTAGACGCGAGAAGATAACGGTAGTTCACGGTCATCAAGCTTTCTCTACGCTCTGTCATGAAGCTCTGATGCATGCCCGGACAATGGGCTACAAAGTTGTGTTCACAGATCATTCTTTGTACGGTTTCGCTGATGTTGGGAGCATCCACATGAACAAGGTCTTACAGTTCAGTTTAGCAGATATAGACCAAGCTATATGCGTTTCACACACGAGCAAGGAGAACACTGTTCTGCGGTCTGGTTTGTCCCCAGCAAAGGTTTTCATGATACCAAATGCTGTCGATACCGCTATGTTCAAGCCCGCTTCTGTTCGACCCAGTACTGAGGTCATCACCATAGTTGTCATAAGTAGATTGGTTTATCGGAAAGGTGCGGATTTGCTCGTTGAAGTCATTCCAGAAGTATGCCGTTTATACCCCAATGTGAGTTTAAAACACATTAGTAACCAATCATTCTACCATTTCTCTATCGTATCTGTATTAACTTTAATTCTTCTTTTTATTTGAGTTTTGAAAGGTTCGTTTTGTTGTTGGAGGGGATGGACCAAAACATGTGCGACTAGAGGAAATGAGAGAGAAGCATTCTCTCCAAGATAGAGTCGAAATGTTGGGTGCAGTGCCACATTCTCGCGTGCGCTCTGTTTTGGTCACCGGTCATATCTTCTTAAACAGGTGTTATGTGTTTACAATTTACAAAACTCGATATTAGTGTTTTTAGCAGTTACTGTTGAATGTTCATGTTTACTAGAGTCTTGATCCTCTGACAGTTCTTTGACAGAAGCTTTCTGCATAGCTATATTAGAGGCGGCTAGTTGCGGATTATTAACTGTCAGCACTCGTGTTGGAGGTGTCCCTGAGGCATGTAACATTTCCTATAATACATTCTGTGACTGTCTCTCTTCCAGGATCGATAAAATCAGGTTTTTTTCTTACGATTTTTTAGGTCTTGCCTGATGACATGGTTGTACTCGCTGAACCTGATCCAGATGATATGGTACGAGCAATCGAGAAGGCAATATCAATACTCCCAAGTATTAACCCTGAGGAGATGCACAATCGAGTGAGTTTCGTTTTCATATTTAAATACTTAAAGAGTTAAGAACCTTTCTTCTAAGCTTGTTGCTACTATTAGATGAAGAAGCTTTACAGTTGGCAAGATGTGGCCAAAAGAACCGAGATTGTGTATGATCGTGCCTTGAAGTGTTCAAATAGGAATCTTCTTGAACGTTTATCGCGGTACATTATATATCCTTACGCATCAAGATTGATGTAAAACCTCGTTTTTCTTTGATACGGATGAAAATAGCTTATCTTTGTTAGGTTCCTCTCGTGTGGAGCTTGGGCAGGGAAGCTATTCTGTATGGTTATGATCGTTGATTACTTGCTTTGGCGGTTACTTCAGTTACTGCAGGTGAAGCTGTTACACTGATTAACGCATTAATTAACTCATCCTCTCTAAATTCTTTAGGTAGATATGTATAGTATGATCAAATTTATAATCTCGTAATGGGATTTGTTTCAGCCTGATAACGATATCGAGGAGGCACCTGATGTTCTTCTTCACCATCATGGAGAGAAGAGACACTGAGTCTTCATCAACAGTCTCTACTCTTCGCTTGTGTAACTCGCTTGTGTAATCAGGATTGTCTCTTGTCAGAGTCGTGCTTACGTTCAAATTATATAAAATATGGGCTTACGGTTTCAATTTTTTAAGAAAAACTTAGGAACCTTTTCTTTGCAACATTTACCCATACATATTTTTCTTTAATTTTTTAATTTGTTTTTAGTAGGCTTAGTATTATTGGTAAACATCTCTTTAAATGAAAATAAGAATAAAGAAAATAACATTGAAGATAATTAAAAGAAAAAGTAAATAAAACAAAATAAAACATTGCAATATTAGGATAAACAGTTTTTTGAGTTTATTTTTTTTATTGTAGTTTGTTTTTTTCAACATTCACTAAATTCATTAAGTTTTGATATCTGTATTTTTTGTTTTGTTTTGTTTTGTTTTGCTTTTATTTCTTTACAATCATTTTCATTGAAGTTTTGTTTCAAATTACCACTGCAAATATTATATAATTATGTTTAAACTTATTGATGTCATCAAACAACCCAAGAAACTAAGAAATTAGGTTTTTGAACTAAGTTCTTGTTTGTACTTCTTTATTTATTTTGTTAAATAATATTATTAGTTTTTACATACACATTTTTGTTTATTGATATCTATTAAAAAAAATTACGAAACTGATTAAGTTAAGAAATTTCAAATAATCTTATATAAAACTTCAATTAATAAAATTATAAAACATAAAGAAAATTTAACAAACAATTAAAAAGATAAAATTTATTAAAAAAATAATAACAAAAAGAAAGATATCCATATAAAAATGGGAGAAAAAATTTAAAAAACCTTCAACTATTTAATATTTGCTAGTTTCCTACCTGAACTTTTTGCGTTGCCAGAAACTTACATGAACTAATTTTTTAGATAAAAAAACTACCTAAAATATTTTATAGTTTCAGTTTTCTTCCCACGATTTCACGGCCTTTAACCGTCAAACGGAATTAGTAAACTCCGTTATTTTCTAAAACAAGAAAAAGCTGAAAAAACCCTCAACTATTTAATATTTGCCAAAAAAATACCTGAACTTTTTACGTTATCTGAAATCCACATTAGCTAATTTTTAATTTTTTTTTTAAGTTAAATGACACTAAAAAACCAAAATATCAAAGATTTTACAACAACTAAAAAAAAAGTTATCACCAATATAATTCGAAATAAATTACAATATATATATTTTTAAAATTACAATATATTTATGACTAAAGATTCTGTAGATGAGTACTTCATTTTGTTTTTGGGCTGATTTAATCTCCACTAAGATGATCTTCGTAGATGATTAAAAATATCTATCACACTTTATCTCAATAGATCACCTACTAATTTATATTTATTACTTTATTATGAGCCACTGAAATCACTGTTCCAAAGAGTCGATTAGTTAGGAGCTTATATGCAAATCGCTTTTCGGAATAGATGTGGTCTATGATGAGAAACAAACCAATATCAAATAAATAATCATCAGCGAATGAATCTGGGAGAACTATTAATGGATGTGAAGTAATGGGGTAAAAGCTGAAACCGTAAAATATTTCAGATAGTTTTTTGATCAAAAAATTAGTTTATGTAGGTTTCTGGCAACACAAAAAGTTCAGGTAGGAAACTGACAAATATTAAATAATTGAGGGGTTTTAAGTTTTTTTTTCCCTATAAAAATGTCATATATGGTTTTATTTTTAAATAAAAAAAGATGAAATCGATAAAATATATATAACTAAAAAATTCAAAATGATAAAATTAAGAAAAATAACAAGTATTATATAAGTAAGATTTACAAGAATAAAAAGAATACGAAGATCGAAGAACAAATAAATATTTCTCTCTGATATTCAACATATATTTTTAAGTTAACTATTACGTTTTGATAAAAAAAGTAAAATAGTAGATTTTTAGTCTCTTATTATCTTAGGAGAAAAATTAGACTATTTGACACAATTGGTGTAGAAGAGATTACAAATAATGTATCATCAAAAAGAGATCAAAGAAAATATAAATATTTTAAACAAAATAACATTAATAGTAAACATAAAATTAAATACAAATTATTTAAAATAAAAATTAAAACATGATCCGCTATTTGTCACAATCTTTTCTTTTGTCACAATCTCCACTTCTTCACCAGTTGCTCTCTTGAGCTTTTTCAACAACTTATCCAGATCGAAACTTCCAGTGACCACAATCGTTTGTTTCTCTCTATCCACCACCCGTGATTTGACTCCTAATAATCATACATCATTCGAAAAGTTACAACATGCATGATAAATTGCCCATAATCATATTACTATCAGTTATAAATATTGGTCTACCTTTGAATTTTTTAATAACAACAAACATGATCATCTCGGCTTCATCACAAATTGGTATTTTTAATTCGACATCTGATACACTAGAAAATATCCAAGATTTGAGTTGGTTATCAAGAAAACTTTTTTAAAGATGTATAAGAATATAAATCAAGCTTACATGTCAAGGGCTTAGTTGGAATATAAATCAATAGATTTGTTAAATGCGGATACTTAGTTGGAATTGTCAAGGGCTTGGAAATCGCTGGACAATAAGCTATCTTAAAGAAGTCTGGAAGAGACATAAACCAGAATTTTTGTTTCTTTCAGAAACCAAACAGTAATTTCTTTTTTACAAAAATTTCAGTTTCATTTCGGTTATGATAAGTTGTACATGGTTGAACCATGTGGTGCAAGTGGTGGTCTTGCATTATTTTATACTAATTCTTCTGATGTTACTATTTTATTTTCAAATAATCAGATTATTGATATTGAAACAGATATTTTGGGAAAAAAAGTTTATCTCTCTTTCATTTATAGAGATCCGGTTGCAAAACTACGAGGTCAAGTTTGGGAAAGACTAACAAGAATAAGTCTTACACGGAAAGAACCTTGGTTCGTTATTGGAGACATGAATGAGATAACCAGTAACAATGAAAAAAAGGAGGCACTTTAAGACATGCTTCTACCTTTGTGTCCTTCAACCTCATGATACGAGACTGTGGCTTTTTGGAATTTCCAATACAATGTCTTGGAGGGGACGAAGAAATTCAAAAGTTGTTAGATGTAGACTTCGGGCGTTAGCGACTGAAGATTGGCATGAGATCTTCTCGCATTCTTATGTTGAGTATTTGGCGATGATTGGATCAGATCATCGGCCAATTGTCGCTACAATTGAAGATAAAGTTCAAAGGAAAAAGTCGCAATTCCGATTTGATAAACGTTGGTTAGGACAAGACGGTTTTATGGATTCTATTTCCAAAGGTTGGAATTTTGATCCTAGTGATGGAGTAGTTCCGTTTATGGACAAAGTGCAAAATTGTAGAAGAGAAATATCCCAATGGAGGAAAACTTTTCAGCCATATGGGCATGAAAGGATTGGCGACTTGAAACGGGAATTAGAAGACATCCAAAACGATGACACAAGAACGGAGGAGGAATTGATGGAGGTTACGAAAAAATTAAAGAAAGCTTATAGGGATGAGGAATTATATTGGCAACAAAAAAGTCGAACTCAATGGGCAAAAGAAGGAGATAAAAATACAATATTTTATCATGCATTAGTTAAACAAAGAAGAGCACGGAACCGGATTATTGGTTTATATAATGCAATAGGAACATGGGTTACTTCGGAGAAAGAGATTGAGCAGGTGGCAGTGAAATATTTTGATGAACTATTCACCTCGACTTCCCCAACGGAATTTAACGTCACATTGGGAAATATTACACGGGTAATCTCGGACACGAATAATGCAATGCTCACAGCTATGGCATCTGAAGAGGAAATACGGAGTGCACTATTTATGATGCATCCGGAGAAAGCTCCGGGACCTGACGGAATGACGGCACTCTTTTACCAACGCTCATGGCAAATCGCTAAGGCGGATCTTGTATGTTTAGTCAATGTTTTTTTTGATACGGGGGTCTTTTATGAAAGATTAAACATGACGAACATCTGTTTAATTCCCAAAACGGAAAGACCTACGAGAATGACAGAACTACGACCTATTAGTCTATGTAATGTCGGTTATAAGATCATATAAAAAGTACTATGTCAACGATTAAAAAATTTATTACTAGATCTGATTTCGGAAACACAATCAGCTTTTGTGGCAGGACGGTTGATATCAGATAATATCCTAATTGCACAGGAGATGTTTCATGGACTGCAGACTAATAAGTCATGCAAAAGTAAATATATGGCGATTAAGACGGATATGAGTTAAACTTATGATAGAGTCGAATGGGCTTTTATTGAAGATCTTTTGAGGAGATTTGGTTTTGCGGAAAAATAGATAACATGGATGATGCGATGCATTACCTCGTTAAAATATAAAGTTCTGTTAAATGGACAGCCAAAGAGGCATGTAATCCCGGGGAGAGGTCTCCGCCAAGGGGACCCTTTATCTCCATATTTATTTATACTATGTACAGAGGTGCTAATATCAAATATAAAGAAATCTGAAGAGGAAAAACAATTGACTGGTCTAAAGATTGTACGAGCAAGTCCACCGGTGTCACATCTACTTTTTGCAGATGACAGCTTATTCTTTTGTAAGGCAAATAAAGCTGAATGCCAGAAGATTCTAACGATACTGAAACAGTATGAAAGTGTCTCGGGACAGCAAATTAATTTTGATAAATCTTCAATTCAATTTGGTCACACGGTCCCAGAGGACGTTAAGAGTGAGGTGAAACAAATTTTAGGAATCTATAGGAACGGAGGGACGGGATCCTATCTTGGTATCCCGGAAATCTTAGATGGCGCTAAAACCAGAATCTTTAATTTTGTAGCAGAAAGACAGCATGATCGGGTTAATAGTTGGACGTCGCGCCTACTGTCAAAAGGGGGTAAAGAGGTATTGATTAAATCGGTGGCATCTGTGATGCCCACTTACGTCATGTCATGTTTTCGGTTGCCTAAATCCACCACAGGAAAACTAACTAGTGCAGCGACAAGGTATTGGTGGAGCTCGGATGGACATAATCGTGGTATGCATTGGATAGGGTGGAAAAAGATGTGTAAAGATTAAACGGAAGGAGGAATCGGATTTCGAGATGTGGAGGATTTTAATACGGCTTTATTGGCAAAACAATTATGGAGGCTGATTGATAGACCAAATTCCTTATTTGCGCAGGTCTTTAAAGGACGATTCTTTCAGAATGCAAGTCCTTTGGACCCAGTGAGATCCTACTCACCGTCTTATGGATGGCGAAGTATAATATCGGCTAGATCTCTGGTTAATAAAGGGCTAATTAAAAAGGTAGGTTCAGGATGCTCCATTTCTGTCTGGAATGATCCATGGATACATTCTTCTCGCCCGAGATCAGTCACTTGTAAGGGTTTCAATTATTATCCGAATATTATGGTTAATCACCTGATTGACCCAGTGAAAAACTCGTGGAACATGGGTTTGATAATAGCAATTATTGACCCAGCGGATGTGGAAATTATTCGTGGACTTCCCATTAGTAGAACCTATAGGCCAGACCCAATGGGATGGCATTTCACAGAATCCGGACGATATACGGTAAAATCAGAGTACAAAACTGAGCGTTATTTATCTAAAGGAATCACAAAGGAGATCTTTGGCCCAGAAATAAAGGCTTTACAAGCATATGCTTGGAAATTGAAAAGTGCGCCGAAGTTAAGACATTTTATCTGGCAAGCAATATCTGGGTGCCTTCCAGTGTCGGCTGGATTACGCACCCGTGGAATACAATGTGACACACAATGTACACGATGTGGAGAAGATGAAGAAACAATTAACCATGTGCTCTTTGAATATCCTCCTGCTTTGCAAACTTGGGCATTATCCCGGATACCAACACCTCTTGGAATCTTCTCAGGACCATCGGTTTATTCAAATTTTGATCATCTTTTTTGGCGACTTCCATAAAAGTTGAATAACACACAATTCCCATGGATCGCATGGTATATTTGGAAGGCACAGAATGAGAAAGTGTATTAAAATAATGATATAGATCCACAGATTACATTGAAAATAGCGGAAACATAAGCAACATTGTGGGAGGAGGCTCAAAGGTTTGAACAGGATTCAATTCCTACCGATCTTTGCACTTTTCTGAACCTGTCAACACCTATGGCCTACGAAGGCTGGTGGTGCTATACTGATGGCTCTTGGAAAGATACATATCTTTTAACGGGATTAGGATGGTACTTCTTTAAAGAAGATGCTACGGAAAGAATAATGGGAACACAAAATGTAAGACGAAGTCTTACACCTCTGCATGCGGAAATAGAAGCCCTCATATGGGCTATGCACTGTATGCTCGAAAACCAGAAGATGGAAGTAGCTTTTGCAACAGACTGTTCGGAGTTGGTGAAGATGGTGTCTACACCCGAAGAATGGCCAGCTTTTGATCTACATTTGGAGGAGATTAGGAAAATGAAGGACAAGTTCAGTTTCTTCCTTATATCACATATCCCACGCGCAAAAAATTCGAAGGCGGACAACCTAGCAAGAAGTGCTCGTGTCTACCCTCAAGACGTCATTTATGTAAACTCGGTACTACCGGTTTGGATAGCCAAACCGTTTTAGGTACTTAGGCTGATGACAAAAAAAAAAAGCTTACATGTCAGGTACATTTGTTGGTGAAAAGCAACTAAACATTTCTTAAATTTGAAACTACCAAAGAAATCAAATACTAAATATTATCAAGGTAAAATATAGTTTTCAGAATCCTAATACACTTATATACATGATCACCCATAGCACACTATGAATGGCCATTTTTAACATCTATTCACACATAAAAAAGAGATACAATATTTTAACCAAAAAAAAGAGGAATTTATTATATATTATCTAATTATTATTAATCATTACAATATATGATGTCATATATGTTTATATATTATGCACTTATATAGTTATATACACATTTTTCAAAAGAAGATTTATCTGTTTATTTTTTTAATAACTTTTGATTTTCTAATTATGTGATTAGCAAAAAAAAAATTCTCGATTAAACAAAATTTAATATTTTTAAAAATTAAACCTCCAAATTTATTCAATTAAATCTTATTTTATAAATAAATATTTCTTACATTTAACTTTCTTAGATTTTCTAATATTTTTTCTTAACTTAAAAAATATTATTGAATTTTTTAATTAATATTTCTTCTGATATTTTTATATATATTAAAACTGTCATAAAAGAGAAATTTCTTTGAAGATATCAAAGAAAAGAATATGTGATTTTTATAATTAAATGATCGTAATAATATTATATTAATTATAAATTAGTTAACTTGTGTCTCTAAAAGCCAGAAAAAATATTTCAACAATAGTAATAAGAAATTATAAAAAATACCACAGTGTTAGGGATAATTTGCAAAACCATAATCATTTTATTACATGTGACTTTTCGGATCATTTGAGATAGGATCAGAGTTTTATAAGTTTGCTAATCTTATATATAAAAGAGGAAGAACTCTCTCCAGCTGCTTGACACGTCAACACTGGAGAGAGCGACACCTATACCTTTAAAAAAACGCCACGTGTATGGACCTTTACGCTTCTGAAACCTCTTATATTTCTTTCCTAATATCAACGATTGAAAAAGGTTCAACATTAATTAGAGAGATACATTGTCTACAGTCTATTAAACTTAGAGACCAATTAATGTGGGGATGAGAGCATTGGTCATAAAGAAAAGAAAAAACTGAAATCTGAGGGAAAATCCGAAGAATCTAGGGAAGTTCAATCAGAGGAAGAGACTAAAGAGTGCGAGAGAAAAAGCTTGGTTTAAAATTGGGTTCTTCGGGTGAAGAATCTGACGAGGAAGCAGAGTCTGCAGAGAAAGATGGCGAAGAGGTATTGGAGGAAGAAGAAGAGGAGGATACTTTTGATTGATGAAAAATGGTAATGAGTAGTTATGAAAAACGATGGTCAAAAAGTTGCAGTCAGTTTTTTTTTGGGGGGGGGGGGTTTAAAGAAGTCTCATATGCCTTTAATTATAAGATCTATCATTCGCGTTTCAGAAATAATAATTCTCCCATTTTGCAGATTTTGGTGATCTCGATGGTTTGTAGAAAGCGAACGTAACAAATTTCGGAAAAGAAACTCATAGTAGGCTCACATATTGGTCTTACTATTCAATTGCATTCGGAGAAACTCCAAGTGTGGGAATGACGGTCGGAGGAAATTTAGACGAGTGACAGAGAAAGAACGAAGAGGTTAGGCATTAGGAAATGGGAGCTAAGAGAAAGACGAGATGGGCGGTGTTGAAACTACAGCTCGTGTAGGCATCACATGCGTATAGAACTTATTTTTTGTCTCATATTAGTACTGTAACTTTAGAAAATCTCGAATCTCTGCTTTGTATTCACCCTTTTGTGGGAATTGTCTCAGCTTGGTACAATGTTTCTTTTTGACATCTTATTCTGCTATGCATGTACTGTAGCTGTGTTTAAGTGAAGATGAGAATCACCAGTACTCACTGGTTCTTAACCGCTGATGCATTATTTTAACTCTGTAAGCTTTGGGTGTGATACTAATCTATTTGGAAATGAATGCTGAATGATTAAGCTTTCTGCCCAAACAAAAAAAAAAACTTGTCTGTTTCTGGCATCATCTAAAAATAGTCTCATAGTCTGAAACCTGCGCTCATTCAAATGATTTGTGCATTTATAATTATCAATTATTGTCGTTTATTCTATTTTCTCAGAAAAAATCCAATCTTTTTCCCTGTTTAAATCCAGTTTCAGTTGAATCATTATATAAAAACTTCTGCTACTGCAGTTCCAAAGAAAGGTCCTTTCATTTGAGAAAGCAGTGACTGCAGCCGCAGTTTCTAGCAGTGGCTCGTCGGTGTAAGAGGAAGCAGTGGTAGACATCAATTTTAGTATTAAATAATGAGGAAACAATAAGGGTTGTTCAGAACAAAGTTCTGAGCTATGTATGCAAAGAATGAAGATATTAAGTGGTTCTCCACTACTTCTATTGGATTTTCTTTTTATAGTAGATCAACTTCGGTATTTTGGTGTCTTCCACTATAAACTAATGGTTGTTCACGTTGCTGCAGCGTTGCCGTTATAAGTGTCTTCCTCCTAATTATATTTTTAAGAAAAGTTAAATGGTATTATCAAGAATGAGAAATAGAAGCTTTGTACATACGTCCTTCCTCCAACAAATGTTTTTCAAAAACTGAGGAAGACTACTGAAAAGCATACTGTTCCAACGAAGAAGAAATGAAAATAAAAAACACAACCAATGCCAATCATTCTAATCATTCATTTACAATATGAACCAAAATATCTCACTGTAAATATTCGTAAAGTTACAAACCTTTGCAACAAAAATGCAGAGTAATATTTCAGATTAAATGCCTGTCTTACCTTATCATATTACAACCAACAATCATAATCTCTACTTATACACACTACAAAAGAAAAAACTACAAAATAATTAAACATTTTAAATTATTTGAATAAAAACCCGCGCATAGCGCGGATACGCATCTAATCTTATATATAAAAGAAGTTCAACTCTCTCCATATGAATGCCACATCAACATTTGAGAGTTATTATGAAGATGACATGTGTTATATTTTTTAAATTAAAATTACAGTTTTTTTTAAGAAAATTAATTAATAAATTAAATATTAAGTTTTAAACCACTCAAACATGAAAAGTTTTTTTATTAATTGATTCTTAAATTAAATTTATATAAATATTAAATAAGAATTTATATTATAATTAATTAAAAATATTAATAGTTTTTTGTATAAATTCTTAATTTTTAATATTATAACATTTAAAATTGATTGATTTATATAATATACTAACACATAATAAATAATTTCTATATTTTTATTAGTAATAGATAAAAAAATATATAAATTTGAAATAGTTGAAGAAAAAAACCTGCACGTAATGTACGGATATTCATCTAGTTTATATAAAATTTCTAAAAGTCATATCAAATCCACAGTTATTCAATTAACAATTTGTCAAAACTACACTATATCAAATCCATTGTTATTCAAACCTAAGCAATTTTACTTTTAAATTAAAAGTTGTGAAAAGGATTTTAAGAGTGTACTTACATTTTTAGTTGAAACTAATGATAATAAAACTGGAATTTGGAGAGACTTTTATAAAGAAACGTTCTCAATAAAATAAAAATAAAAATTGAAAAATCATAGCTCACCAACCAAACTCTTTCTTCACTTTCCTTATCATCGATTGCTTCTCTATCTTCAAATTGATTGCGAAGTTGATTGGATGTTTAGTTAGTGACAAAGGCTTCTTTGGTTCTTAATTAGAGCTATGTTGAAGAAGCGTGACGACGATTCTTCTGCTTCTGGTAAAGTATTATATTTTGTTCGATCGTTTAGTTTTGAAGTCTGACTAGCTATCCGTGTTATAACTGCTTAATAAATAAGATGTTAGAATTAAAAGAATACTATATTTATTATATTTTATTAATTAGATTTATATAATTTATAATAAAACTAAAATTTGAATTGACTTATTGTCAGAAAATAAATCTGGTTATAAATTAGAGAAAATTGCTGAATGGGTAGTTTTTAAGTTTTAAATTAGAGGAATAGGATGTTTTGAAAACTTTGGAAGGATAGGGCTGTTTTTACTGTTTGTCTTCCCACAAGGATCCTAAGGCAATTTTTATTTTCAAAATTACCATTATCGAAGTAAAAAAACTAAAAATTTCAGATTAAATCCGATTTGGTAAACCGATTACACAAAATTATAAACCGAAGTCCAATATCATAAACCGAAGTATAACCAAATGTATAATTTATCGACATCCCAACATTTAAATTAAAAATTAAATTTGGGATCCACATCTCGACGTAGTCCATCTAGCATCTCCGGCAATCCATCTCCGATTAGCCATCCGATTGACCGTTGTAATGGCGCGGAAAGTAAAAAAATCGTTAAGGCGCAACAACACCGTGCCTCCGGTGTCGAGGCGAGTGTTCCAGAGTAACTCGAAGTCAGCTCCGACGGACCACTCGCCCATACCGCCCATGTCACCGCGACGGAGTGACCACCGGGTTGAACATCCCATTCAAGATCGATGACTTGGATAAGGAGCTGAATGAGAGCAAAAACCAGACCTACGACTACACATTGGAGCTGTGGCAAGGTGTAGCAAAGGTTGAAAACAAAACAGAAGAGATTGATGCTACTTTAGACAAAGTTGTCTATGCTTTAGATGAAGTAGAAGAGAAGGTTGAAAAACTTTCTACAGATCATAAGGAGTATGATCTGAACTCTGGAATCACTTATTTGGATACCCAAGACATGTCTGAGAACCACTGGAAGCAAGAGAACAACAATGGAGAAGAAGAGATTGAAGAAGGAAGCATGGAGAGCCGGAGGAAGCTGACCGCGGCTGCGAGCACCTCACCCGTGGCCAGAGCCACTTCCACCGCGGCTCCAAGCTCCTCACCCATGGTGCAGCACGACTTCTCAGACTGGGAGAGCTTTCAACCTCTTTCTGAAGTCTGTTCATCAGAAAACCGACCTCATGTGACCAGACCTAGGTTGTTGACAAAGCTGTCTTCTCAATCACTGCACAAACATCAAAGGAAAAGGAAGAATTCAATACTTATGCATCTTGGAACATGGTTTATACTTGTGACAATGAGCTTCAAGAGCAATTCTCAGAAGATGAAGAGTATGGTTTGTTTGTAAAAGATCCAAACCCTGGGGACGATTCATCTGATGACAACACAGAACCAATAACCAAGAGCATATCTAGAGAGAGACTGATCAAATTCAACAAGTTTGTGAAGTCCATTCTTCTCTATCTCGGATTCGACAACGTCTGGAAGCAAGGCTGCCTTCAAGTCTTCTTCAGATACAGCAAGGAGACTAAGGAGAACATCTCTACATATTTCAGAAGAGCCAGGTATCTATCTTTTCCTAGATCATCACCTAATGCAGCTGTTTACAGGATCCACCTCAAAGATTCCCAAGAAGCCAGTGATTACACAAACAAGATCAGCAAAAAAGCACTTGAAGAGTTCAACCAAGTAGTTCAGAGTCTTCTAGAAGGAATTTCGTTTGCCAAAGCATGTAGATACTACATGATAGGCCACTTCTTTTGTGACAGCAAAGAGTCAATCCAAGAGATGAAAGACTTGTTCACACACGCCCAAGAAGGTAGAACAGTTTGAACTCTACATAAAGTTCAAGACAAATGTCAATTTCTTATCTCTTGTGACATTAGAGGTGAAAGATTCCTCAATATTCTTTGTGATTATGGAGCTTGCATTAACATGATGTCCAAAGCAACTGTTTTGAGAGTTAGGCATTAAGCACATCTCAAGTACCAGGACAAAGATTAGCTTAGCAGATGATTCAAGTGCAACACCAAGAGGGATAGCCCGAGACATTCCTCTAAAGATTGGAGATTGCATTGCACCTGTCGATCTATACATAGTGAAGACCAAAGATGACTCTTATCCAGTTATTCTTGGATGGCCTTTCTTAGCAACTGCTGGAGCCATCATGGATTGGCCCAACAGGAGAGTTTCTTTTGCCAATATCGACAAGGACATCTTCTCTGAAGCTACACCACTTAAGAGCAAAAAAGGAGAGCATACAGCTCAGACATTTGAACCAGAAGAACTCTGGAGTGATGAAGAACCTGCAAGACAGAACATGAGGATTTCGAATAGGACTTGTCTTAGGACAAGATCCTATTTGAAATGAGTCTTTTTCTTTGCAAAGTCTAGCTAAGGACTATAAACCAAAGCGCTTGATGGGAGGCAACCCATTTTAGGTACTTATTTGTTTTTATTCAGCTTTCTTTTTCTATTAAAGTTTTGTTTCTTTCATTTTAGACAGGCCTTAGTATGCCATAAAAAAAAGAGAAGAAAAGGAGCTGGCTGCAGCCAAAGAAGGTCCAGCCGCAGCCAGCAGGCGCTTTACCGCGGCCTAGAAGGTCTGGCCTGCGGCCAGCACGCGTCCCACCGTGGCCGCGATGCTCCGACCCACGGCCAGCACAGCCGGCCACCATGGCCACCTTGTCCACCTCCATTTCACCTTGGCCACCTCCATTCCATCCTTGGCCACTTCCACCATCACCTTGACCAAATCTGTTTTGGATCCCTTGCATCCAAGCTTGATCAAGCATCGCCACCACAACCACCTCACAATCCATCACCAACACCAGGTAAGTTTTCTTTCTCTCAATCTTTTTAATTTTTACATACTCTATTTCTCATCCTTGCCTGATTTATTTCACACTGGGGGGCAGTGTGATTTAAGTCTGGGGGAGGATTTCATCCCTTTCTAACAACCTTTTCTTGCATGAGCCTTTGCATTCTGCATTTTCTTTAAAATTTTTCAATTTTTTCCGATTTTTCTTAAAACTTTTCAAAAGTCTTTGGGTTTCAAAAAGTGTTTTCAAAGGTCAATTACATTTTGAGGGAATAATGACAAATCAATGATGATAACCAACCTGTTTGCTTCTA